TAAAATGATCATGGCATTTCCAAAAGGTATTTGTGGGGAGATCTTTGTGCCTTGTTGAGGTGGTTAGGATTCATAGTTCCATTTCCAAAAAGAAACAACAGCACCCATCAATAACCCACAGAGCAGGGGACAGAGTAGCTATCAACTCTCTGCCCAGAAAGAAAGGCACTAGCACTTTCCTGACCACAATTATAAATGTCTATGCAAACATCTAATCACAGTGCAGCATTATAAAGATGTCAGGTAAGTGAAACACAAGAAGGGCCAACTTCACCAGAAATGTGTCCCTATTTAGACACCCCAAGCTCTCTAAGCATTTTATGAACTTGATATTTTCTAAGGAGAATAGAAAAAAATATTTTCCCATTTCTAGCTGTGGAGAGGTACTGTAGCCATCAAAGGTCAAAGAGGGCTGGGAAAAAAAGACTCAGGTTTTCTGTCTACTATAGACCAACATTTGGTTCACTAGACCAAAGGCTCTTGAAGTTAGTTTTCCCCGAATGAGCTGAGGTCATTGAAATTTTCAGGAGCAGTGAACAATGTGGTGGCTCCTTTTGGTTTCTGAGCTGTTAGACATATTGAGGTTGGTTGTTGGGAGAGGTCAATGGTAAATTGTAGAATATTTGTTTATTTTAACACTGGAAAGGGCTGGTATTTCATAGAGGAGACTCAGAAAAGAAGCAGATAAAGTGAAAAATATGTTCTCCTTCTGTTTATTTTTCCCAATGGTTAAAAAATCAGCTTTTATGGAACAATAATCTTTCTCATGACAGATGGGCCTATACATTAGCATCGTGCTTTCCAGTCAACAGAGTTTACATTTCAAGAAGAAGGTGAAGAAACCAACTATACACACACCTTCAGTTTCCATTTGTCTTTTTTTTGTTTGTTTTCTGACATTAATACAAAAAATAGTATTCTGATTAGCAGCTCAACTAGCAACCCCACATAAACCTAAATAATACTTTAAACCCAAAGAGTGCACTTTTACGGACACTTACTTTTGATGAAACAATATATACAATTTTGACAAATAAATACATAAATACATCCATTCATATATAATGATACACCTAAATGTCAATTTTTATTAACAAGCTTTTCTAGTAAATTGCTTCTTTCATTCACAAGTTGCTTTTTGTTTATAAAAACCGTTTCCCTTTTTACAGCAGAAATTAGAGTTAATTCCCCCACTGAAATCACGTATTATGAAAGATAGAAAATCAATCCCAGGTGCTTTGGGTTAAATACTCCATTGTCCTTTGATAGGAAAAGTTTTATTGAAAAAGTCCTCCCCTCACCCCATTGCAAAGGGGTGCTTCCTTTCATCCCTACTCCCCACCCCCATATCATGTCTATCCAATAGGCTAGGTTGGTTGAAATTCCATCCAAAGTAAACAGGAGCTTCCTCCTACTCTGACTCCGGTGATTTCAACAGCTCCAGTGTTCTATTCAAATTGGCATTTGCCATGTTATAGGAAAAAACCAGAAAACCTTGCAATCTTACACTTAAAGAAAACTGAAAGGCTCATTTGAAAAAGGAATATTAAGAATGAAGACAATGAGCTTGGATACTTAACATCATCCTGTGCTAAAGTAACACTGTAGATGGGAGGTATGAGAAGCAGGTTATCAGACATAAATTGACTGCATGACCCCCATGGAGGCTGCTGCCTGCGATTATGTTTTAAATCCCAGAAAAGGGAGTAGGGATAAGGTTAGGGGTGGGGATAAGAATGGTATGGAGATGCATAGCCACGCATAGCCAAATGTTACCCAATAGGCAGGTTCCCACCTCTATATGTACACTTGAAGAGAGATGATTCTTTTAAAATATATACACATGATCTTTGATGGATATTTACATGTTTGTCCTCTGTGCACTAGAGACCATTTTAAAAAATTAGGAAATTTAAAGGAATTTCCTTTAAGGACCACTGTTTTTGTTTTGTTTCATTTTAGACTAGGGAGGTCTATTCATAATATGTATATATTTATAACATATACATATAAATATATATATCATGTTCATAATGTGTAGTTTCTTGATATTAAGAGTTGTTGACTAGGCATGAGACGGGTGCAGAGCAAAATGATTTGGGAGAAGGCCCAGTCTAGTTGTTTAACAATTGAATAGACAGTAGGTGTTTTGAATGACCAGGAAGAAATCATTGAACTTGAGAACTGGCAATAATTACTGAACAGGGGAGCTGACTGATCTTGTGGGGTCCAATTTCTCCCCAACTTTTTAAATGTTTTTCTTGTATTGTCCAAATTGAAATAAGCTGACTATATATGTGAGTGTATATGTACATATGTATATGTATACACACATATATATGCATACACACACATATATGTGGGTGGATGGGTATATATATGTACACACCCACATACATATATACATATATATGTGTGTTTATATACATATATATGTATATAGGTGTATGTGTGTATTTATTAAGAGGAGTGACTAACTAGGTCTTACATTTCTGGGAATGTGAGATGTAAAGAACTTTCCAGAGGACTACTTTTTAAGGACTGAAACAATTCAGCAAATCAAAACGGGTACAACAAAAACAAGGTACTGTCTTCATATCATGGGGTTTATCCTCACTGATCATAAGCAAGCTGGGATTTTCCAAAGTATGGCAAACTTTCCAAATGTGTGCTGTGTTATCATCAATGTTTGGTTTGTTATTAATTTTGCTGTGTTTATTCTTCCTTCTGGAAAGGTGAGTGGTAAAGCGAATTAATTTTTCCCATCTTCCAAATCCCAGAGAGGCCATAATTAAAACAACTGGGGAGATTTCAAGTTGCATATTTCTCCAAGCAACTCAGCTTATTCCAACATCTGAAAAAAACAGAAGCTTCTGACACAAAATATACCTTACGTCCCCAGCCTTTGGAAGACACATTATCGTTTAGCGTAGAGGGGTAGCACTCAATGCACGGAAGTAATAATTCATTAAGTGATACCAGAGGAAGCATAAATAGTTGAAGCTTCCCACAGGTGCTTTGTGAACCCCTTTGTCAGTGTGCTTCAGAGGACCCCTTCTCATAAGAGTGTTATTAAAGACATAAAATAAAATATATAAGAATACAAAGGAAACCAATTGTATGGAAATACAGTTAACAAAACATTAAAAAAAAAAGTTCATGGACTCTAGGTTAAGAACTCCTGAGCTAAATTAGAGAGAAAGAAATGTTTTAGTGATTTATGATCCATGATGATCTATAGTCCAGATTAATAGTGGTGAATTTTATATTAATATATGTGGTATATTACTAGTATTACTAGTTTGCTTTTTCAGGGGGGGAGGGAGAGGTGGAAACTGGACCCATGATTTTAATCTGTGTAAGAAGCTCTCAGTACAGAAACTCTCTTCACCAACACAAAACAGACGCTGTAGAGTCAGAATGCCTGGGGCATTGAGAAGTTGAGTGATTTACCCACAGTGTCAGAGGTGGGACAGGAACCCAGGTCTTCCTAACTTCAAGGCTAGCCCTTTAGATACTATGCTTCCACTGCCTCTCACTATTACTTACTGGTTACTGATATTATAGTAATAATAATAATAATACAATAATAATACTTCGCACATACATAGCACCTTTCAGCTGAGGATTTCAAGGTACTTGGCAAACATGAATTAAAATTCACAGCATCCGGGAGGTAGGTTTTTTTTTAAATAATTACCATTTTGCAAATGAGTAAATTGAGGCACACTGAGGTTTCCATCATTTTCTCCTTTGACACTGTGAGTCTTGTGGCAGAGAAAGGAATGGAACCTAGGCTTTCCCTCCCTTAGCTGCAAAACTCTTGAAACTCTGCCCCTGAGAAGACCTCAATGCCAATGCAATTGCATGTAATACTGGGGACCTTGCTAACATTCAACTGTACTGAAGTACGCATTGCTCGCACTTGGTGTGCCAGCCAGATTTGGTGCCCTTTGCCTAATTCCTAGGGCTCTAATTCTTTTCATGCTTTCAGAATCTGCTATCTTCGAATTGTGATGTAACATTCTTCTTGGCCACATATCAGCTTTGCTTATTTTCTTTGTTTGGAACTGTGTGCCCACATGACCCACATATTCCAAGTGAACTCAGTGACATTGCATACTGGGTTGAAGCAGGTAAAGTTACATTTGGCAATTTTCCTTGGAGGCACAATTTTATGTTTGTTCTGAAAGAACTGAGAATAAATCCCCTATTTATTTTGTTAAATAGCATTCCATACATTCCACCTGCTGCCCATCACGTGTTTAATCCTTGGATGAGCAATAAAGTTGTTTCCTGAACTTTTACAACATCTGATTCTCACGTTCAAATTCCCACTCATCCAACGCTGTCTTCCTGCCAGAACTAAGTTCTTTTTTGGGGGTGGAATTGTACATATGACACATTTTACATGCCAATATATGGGAAAAAAACCAATGTAAATATCACACACAACAGAAATACTCCCACTCGTGTCTTGACTCTGTCTATTTCTAAATGGGTTTCTAAACAGTTATTTTCTCTTTGAAGGGATGACATGAAGGCATTATTGTGAGGTGACTTTCCTTCTCTCAGAACCAGATTTCTATCTCAGAAGGATAGTAGCTGTAGCTGAGTAGCATTTAGCCAGTTTCTTTTTCGGGGAGCTCAGGTTGGGAGCTGCTTTTTGAGAATAAATGGCAATGCCCTATGCCCTGAGATTGGCATCTGGCACTTTCAACTTGTGTAACATCTGTATAATGAGAATGTGACATTTGTAAACTGGTGATAAAAGAAACTAAGACATGAGGGGACGGGGTGAGGGGGAAATTACTTTTTGCAAACTCCTTCACAATTCATTTCCCATAGTAACATCTGTAAACTACCAACAATACAGCCTCCCAAATTAAAAAGAAGAAAGGAAGGGATAGGGAAAGGAAGGGAGGAAGGAAGGAAGGCAGGAAGAAAGAAAGAAGAAGGAAAGAAAGAGAAAATAAAAGATATTTATATCTGTAAAAATCTTAACACCGGAGATGTTTCTTGCTTGACATGTCATTCCAGATTCTGTGCATTTCTTCTGGTGTGATCTGATGCACAGTAATGACTCGGCGATATCTACACAAGCTGTAAGCCATTTTCCAGTGATTAAAGCCACTGTTTTGGAAAGGGTGAATGCCCAGCTTCCGAAGACACAGTCCCACATACACATCTTCAAGGTGAAGCAGTCTCGTGTGGAGTGAGGTCTTGTAAATGAGTTCTGCCACATCGGCTGAAAAGATATAGCCAGTCCCCGAGCAGAATGGTGGGTAATTGCTGTCTGGGTACAAATCTCTGGGCATGTACCACTTACTGCGGACATCCCGGATTGGTCCTCCATTAATGACATAGCCAGTGAAGTATCTTCTCCTTGGTTTGGTGTTGGGTTTTAGTAGTTTATAGATGAGATTATCCATGTTTACAAAAATGTCACTGTCTGTTTTCATGACGTACTTGGCTTTTGAGCAGAAAGTGGCAACCCATCTCATCCCCATTAACGTTTTGAGGGTGAGGTTATGGTATGAATCAATGAAGTCCTCTACGATGATGTCATGGAAGATTTGGCTTTCTTGTTCCACCATCTGATTTAGAACAGGATCAGCATTCTTCCCTAGGAGAAAGAGAGTGGCGATTTTGATCCCCTTAAAGTTGTTTTCATCTCCCCACGTCTCTCGGATAGCCTGTCGGGCATCAAATTCCTTGTGTGTGGTACTAATGAGGATGACAAGGAAGGGGGTGCTTTTCTCACATTTCTTGGGCTCATTTATGAGAAACTCAAATGCGTGAGGGTTTATAGGTCGAGTTCTTATATTACCAAAGGTAACATTCTTCCTGGCTGCAGCAACGTTAGTAAATGGCCGAGAGCCGGAATAGGAAGAAGTAGGACGAGTTATACTTAGGTACCAAAGAGCGCTAGCCCAGCACACAACTGTCAAAACATAGAGACATGAGACCTTTGAAGCCATTGTCTTTGCAGCTCCTCTATGCAGTATGTTGAATAAATAGCCTTCTTACCATTAACATCTCTTTGTCCTGCAAAGGCAGCATATTACTTGAAAATCTTAAAGTCCGATAAATACAAGTTACTGTGAGATTGTTCATAGGTATTGGTAGCAGGCTTGTCACTCTACTTTCTTCCTCCCTGTGATGATGGGTTCCATATCTTTATAAGTCTTCCTCCTAATTCTGCAAAATACAAGAAAGCACACTGTTTGTTAGGCTTGTTTACATGTTTTGACATTTCAATTCAGTATTATCAAGCTATCATGAAGATTTTAGGGTTTATAATGCCCTCCTGTTTCATTAGAGGTGGTGTGGTATAAGTCTGGGGCAAGTCACTTGATCTCTACTTGCCTTAGTTTCCTCATCTGTAAGATGGAGATGGATGGTGGTAGCAACTACTTCCCCGGATTGTTGTAAGGAGAAAAATTAATCAATCAATTAGTCAATTGATAAAGAGGAAGCTAGATTGTGTGGTGGATAGAGTGCTGAACCTGAAGCCAGGAAGACCTGAGTTCAAATACTGCCACTGATACTTACTAGCAGTATGACCCTGGGCAGGTCAGTTAATTGTTGTCTGCCTTGGATTCCTCAACTTTAAAGTGGGAATAATAATAGCACCTACCTCCTAGGAATTGTTATAATGATCTAATGAGATAATATTTGAAAAGTACCTGAACCATAGTCCGTATTATATAAATGTCAGGAAGGGTTCAAATATTGCTTCTGGCACATATAAGATGTGTGATCCTGGCCATGTCACTTAACTTCTTGAGTTAACTCTAGACAACTCTAAGACTATAAGTTGAAGAGAAGGTGCCAACATGTGTTGGTAGAGAGAATTTTTTCACATTAGAATTCTCTAGGCAACCAGGTGGTGCTGGGCCTGGGGTCTGGAAGATCTAAGTAAAAATTTGGCCTAAGGCACTTTCTATCTATGTAATCCCATGTAAACGCTGTTTCCATGACTGTAAAATGGGGATAATGACAGCACCTACCTTATAGGGTTGTTGTAAACAGTCAAATAAGATATTTGTAAGGCACTTAGCACAGTGCCTAGAATGTAGTAGGTGCTTTATAAATGATTATTCCCTTCCCTTCCCTTCCCCCCTCTATACCGATGAAATCACCAATCCCATCCTTATCCTGTCTTCCCCTCCCCCACACAATCATTGTTCTTGGAGGTAACAGAGATGATCATAGTTGTATAAGCAGGAAGGGACCCTAGAAGTCAACATCCTCATTTTACAAATGAGTGAATCTAAGGCCCACAGGAGTATAGTCAAAGGTGAACTGAAGCCAGCTTGGCTCATGAGAGCCCTTAAATTTTCGGTGCAAGCATTTATATCTCCAAAAATGGCAAATGTTACATATCAGGTCTTGATCTATTGTGTTGTTGATTGCCTAGACTTAAGAGTTTGATTGAGTATGAGTGTTTATATGAATGAGTATGAATGATAATAATTTAGGTTAAACTTGAAAGTGTATCTTGTGTTCATTTTTTTGGAGTTTATCATAAAATATTTACCAGCATACTCCTAGATGTAGTCATTCTCATAAAGTCACAAAGGTAGTAATCCAAATCCTGTGCCTCCAGACCCAACATTCATTCTACCTCATTCTCCTGTCTCTCCATATTCCTTTTGTATCAGTTCTTAGAAACCTTACTGCATAATCATAATTGACATTAATGTTTTAGTTTAATGGTGGTGGTTGTTGTTGTTGAGTTGTTTTTCAGGAGTATCTGACTCTTTGTGACTCCATTTGAAGTTTTTTTTTTCATTTGTTTTGTTTTTTTGCAAAAATACTGGAGTGGTTTGCCATTTCCTTCTCCAGCTCATTTTATAGATGAGAAAACTGAGGCAAACAGGGTCAAGTGACTTGCCCAGGGTCACACAACTAATAAGTGTCCAAGGACAGATTTGAACTCAGGAAAAGCAGTCTTCTTGACTCTAGACCTGGCATGCAATTTACTACGCCACTAACCTGCCCAGTTTAGTGTTTACAAAGCATTATATATAGTCTCAGTTGAGCCTCACAATAACCTCATGATGTAGGTACTACAGGTTATCTTCATCATTTTACAGATGGGAAATCAGAGTGTCAGAGAGGGTGACTAATCCATGTTCCAATTAGAAATTATCAGAGGCAGAATTCAAACCCAGAAGTGGAAGTCAAACTCTCTTCCCTCTAAGTCCAGTATTCTGTCCACACATAACGCACTTGACTAGTCACCTGTATTCTCTTTGAATTGAGGTGAAGGAAAAGGCCAAGAGTTTCTGGGTAATTAATAATCAATTTATTATTTAGGCTAACAAATAATCAATAAGTTGATGGTCAGTGGTCTCTCTCCAGACAAAACCATGGAGATGCCTAATGCTTAAATATCTTTGGAAAAGGAGGTGTCCCTGACAGGTGAAAATCAACCCTGATTGGTGAAAAATCAATAAGGTGGTAGACATATTAATGAGGAGGTGGGCTAAAAGTCTTTAGCTCCTCTTTCTGAGAACATGACTTGATCATGGGACTCAGCTGCCTCCAGCAATCTGGACAAAGGAATCCATCTCTACCCAGACCACTCTGATTGGTTTTCTCCTGCATAAGCTGGGTCACCCTAAATTCTAATGAAGGGTTCCAAGGAGCAGGCTTATTTCCTAAGGGCAAGAATTCTCCTAGATTAGATTCTGTTTGTAAGGTCTTCTAGTTGGGTGGGGTCCTGCCCAAGATCTCAGAGCATATACTAGGAGCATATGAATAATCTCATCTATTAGCAATGTCCTTCAGAGACTGACTGACTGACCTGCAAGGGCTAGACCCTGAATGAGGAAATAGAAAGGAAAAACCTCAATCTTAATTTCATAATTGGTTATTACTATAAAAGAAAATAGTAATTCCTCTCAGATTCCTGACTTCTCACCTGTTTCAGGTCATTAGCATGAAGTTTGATCTCTTATGGAACTTCTATACACATGAATGTAGAGAGAGCAAATATAATAGGAGGAAGAAAGAAAAATGAACTCTGGGTTAGAGTCAGGAAGACACACATTCAAATGACAACTCTGGTGCATCATGGCTGTGTGACCCTGGGCAAGTCAATCAGCCTCTGAGGGGCAGAGGCAACTCTCTGAGACTCTCAGTTGAAGAGCAGATGAGCCTGAGATCTTTCCTCTCTAGGAAATCTCCACCTCGATGAAATTGCTCCAAACCAATTATACCTAGTACATGTGCAAAATTGCTTTGGCCATTTTCCTGGCTCTTCCTCATCTTTTTCCTCTGTCTTAATTCACAGCAAACTCTCTATTCAGGTTAACACCTTCTAGGAGAGGGCAATTTTGACCTCCAGATCTCTGACTCCTTTGTTTCCTTGATTGTATCTATTTTTAAGTTTCTGTGGCTGAAAAACTGTCCATCACCTTGTTTCATATAATGCTCTGTTTGCTGGTCTTGTTCCTAGCTCCATTTTGAGTCCCACTAAGTAGTACCCATGGGCAGCTAGGTGGTGCAATGGTTAGAGGGTTGGGCTTGGATTCAGGAAGACTCATCTTCTTAAGTTTAAATCTGGCCTCAGACATTGTGTGATCCTGGGAAAGTCACTTAACCCTGTTTGCCTCAGTTTCCTTATCTGTAAAATGAGCTGGAGAAGGAAACGGCAAATCACTTCTGTGTGCTTGCCAAGAAAACCCCAAAATGGGGTCACAAAGAGACAGACATGACTGAAAATGAATGAACAACAACAAAAGAGTACCTACCAACCTTCCTCCTTCTTCTTTCAGCTCCTACTCCTGATTCCCAGCTTTCCAGATGGTCTCACACACACACACACACACACACACACACACACACACACACACACACTCACTCCTGTTTGTTCTCTCACATGTGGAAACCATTACCTAACTCCCCTGGCAAAGTTATTTCTGGTGCCAGTTCAGAGATTCAGTGCTATGTATCTAGGTGAAATCACACTGGTCTCTGCTAATTGTGTGCTTCCCTTAGGGACTCACTTATAAATACAGTAGAATCCTAAGAAATGAGACTTTTGAATTTGAGGGCCACCAATTCAAGGGGAGGTAATGAGCGCTTCAATTAACATTCAAATGAAAAAGTTGTCTTTAGGTGTTCCTGGTTCTTTCCTAGAACTCCCAACTTCTATCATGTCATTTTTAAAGGGAGGCTAGGTTACAAAGTTCACTCATGTAAAAAATTGTCTCTCCCTTCCTTGTTAGAGCATATTGCAGTAGTCCTGGTAGACAGAGATAGGAGATAATGGATGTGAATTTCAACAAACTCAGCTTTAGAATAAACTATGCACTCAATGTATGCGCTGTGTTGAAAGAATTTAACTGGAGTTATGGATGGAGACTCATGTTCCAAAGCACAATCATCATAATAAAATAAGAAGACAGGAATGAATAAAAGCAGAGTCAATAGACACCATGTTGTCTAAGCCAAGAGCGGAATGTGAATATATGAGCCATAGGAGGGAGGCCAGCAATAGCTCATTGTAGTTATGATTCTTCTTAAATGAACATTAGAATGGCTCCTAGCAGCGTGACTCTGCGTATAGCTAGGGCTCCAGCTGACCCACAATAAACAATGTCCAAATCTAGGCCCTAGTATTGCCAAACTCCTGGTGGAAAAATTGAGGAGGGAAGCAGATAAAAAGGATGTGGTTTGCTGTGTTCTTTGAAACTTCTAAAGAGAAGCAAGAGATACTTCGGAAACTCATGGTAGGGATTTAGTACCCCACTTCAGGGCCCCATGCTCTGACTTTAAGGACTTTTTCACTTCTCCTACAGGGTTGGGAGGGGGGCCATCTCCAGTCGTCCTGATCTATGTCTTGCCACTGGACCCAGATGGCTCCAAAGGAGAAAGTGAGGCTGGTGACTTTGCACAGCCCTCCCTCACTTAAATCCAATTGACTTGCAAGTCATGGCAACACCTTCCTGATGTCACGGATTCTCTT